GTGGTTCTTTAAAGAAACGCAATCTTTCAGTGGTAAGAAATTTATTTGGTAATTACTTCATAACTATTGTGATATTTACTATACATGGTATGCAACCTGGTGTAGATACTATTATTTGAATAGTTTATATACCATATTGAAAATTCTTGATTTTCTAAGAAAAACGGCATAGTTTAACTACTGGACTTAATTCCTATATAATTCCTTCAGGAAGATTTATCAATGCTGATAGGCAGGACAGTCAACTACCTTGATAAATTGCGTTAAGACTGTATTGTTCATTTCCCTGAAGCAAAAATGTACTTGTTGAAGAAAGTTGTATTGATTAGTTTTAACAATGTTTTGTCTTAACCTGATAACAAACTTATTTTGTATATAAATAGGAACTTTTGGAGATAAAAAACGTGGATAAGTATTTAACACTTGTTGCAATCACATCAACATGTCATGAGGTCCTGGGCCACAAGAAGCACCATCACAAGGAATGAATCACCGTTGATACACTGGATATGATTCAAGAAAGAAGGAACAAGAAGGCAGCAATCAATACCAGCCGAACAAGAACAGAGAAAGCCAAGGCACAAGCTGAATACACAGAAGTAAACAAGCACGTGAAGAGGAGCATTAGAACTGACAAACGTAAATATGTGGAAGATCTAGCAACGACGGCGGAAAAGCCTGCAAGAGAAGGAAACATGAGAGAACTGTATGACATAACAAAGAAACTCTATGGAAATCACCGTCAACCGGAGCAAACAGTGAAAAGCAAGGAAGGCAAGGTAATCACCAACATTGAAGAACAACGAAACAGGTGGTTAGAACACTTCAAAGAACTTTGAATCGACCAGCCCCACTGAACCCACCCAACATCGAAGCTGCACACACGGACTTCCCAATCACTGTTGGTCCACCAGCAATCGAAGAAATCAGCATGGCCATCAGACAAATCAAGAATGGCAAAGCAGCAGGACCAGACAACATTCCAGCAGAGGCACTAAAAACATACGTAGCGGTAATTGCAAGGATACTCCACATTCTCTTCAATAAGATTTGAGATGAGGAACAAGTACCAACAGACTGGAAAGAAGGACTTCTGGTCAAAATACGAAAGAAAGGCGATCTCAGCAACTGTGATAACTACAGCGGCATCACTCTTCTCTCAATGCCGGGAAAAGTCTTCAACAGGGTATTGTTAAACAGAATAAAGGACTCCGTAGACGCCCAACTTCGAGACCAACAGGCAGGATTCCGTAAGGATAGATCGTGTACAGACCAAATCGCAACACTAAGGATCATTGTGTAACAATCGATTAAATGGAATTCATCACTCTACATCAACTTCATTGACTACTAGAAAGCATTTGATGGCGTAGAGAGGACAAAACTATGGAGGCTTATTTGACACTAAGGAGTGCCTGAGAAGATAGTCAGTATCATACGAAATCCCAATGATGGACTAAACTGCAAAATCCTGCATGGATGACAGTTGACAAACTCGTTCGAAGTAAAGACCAGTGTCAGGCAAGGTTAATTACTCTCACACTTCCTCTTTCTCCTGGTGATCGACTGGATCATATAGACGTCAACATCTGTGGGGAAGCATGGGTTACAGTCGACATTTAGGATGCAGCTGGACGATCTAGAATTCGCAGATGATCTGGCTCTCCTATCGCACACGCAACAACAAATGCGGAAGACGATCAGTGTAGCAGCAGAGGTCTCAATGTACACAAAGGGAAACGCAAGATTATCCGATACAACACAGTATGCACCAATCCAATCACAATTGACGGAGAAGCTTTGGAGGATGTAAAAACCTTTATATATTTGGGCAGCATCATTGATGAACACGGTGGATCTGATGCAGATGTGAAGGCGCGGATCTGCAAAGCAAGAGCAGCATATTTACAATTGAAGAACATCTGGAACTCAAAACAACTGTCAACCAACACCAAGGTCAGGATTTTCAATACAAATTTCAAGACAGTTCTATTGTATGGTACGGAAACTTGGAGAACTACGAAAGCCATCATCCAGAAGATACAGGTGTTTAACAGCTGTCTTCACAAAATACGTAGGATCCGTTGGCCAGACAGTAATAGCAACAACCTACTGTGGGAGAGAACAAAAGAGATCCCAGCGGAAGAAGAAATCAGGAAGAAGCGTTGGAAGTGGATGGGACACACGTTGAGGAAAACACCCAACTGTGTCTTAAGGCAAGCCCTCACTTGTAATCCTCAAGGTCAGAGGAAAAGAAGAAGATCAAAGAACACATTACGCCGGGAAATGGAGATAGACCTGAGAAAAATAAACAGCCATTGGATAGAACTAGAAAGGAAGGCCCAGGACAGTGTGGGTTGGAGAAAGCTGGTCGGCACTCGTAGTAACGGGCGTAAGTAAGTAAAATATACCTTCATGACAGCGTTTGTTCAGGATGTAGGTCTTGATAATATCTAATTTCAGTTTAAAATACAAAATGTCTTGAAAGGTGTATATCATATTTTGTATTTCTGGTCGTTCGTTTCATAAAACTATTCAAATGTTTTTTTCCGTTGACTGGTTTATGCCAAAAACTTTGAATATATTTGACCAAATATTTGGATTATTTAATTTGTATTTTGTGGGCTCTTAATATGACGACAGCATGAAAAACATCTTCGACACTAGATGATAGTGTTTACAAACTTTACTTTTTGAGATTTGTCAATATCTTATTATCCTTATTTTACATATTTTTTACATGAATATTGTTCTTTCATGGTGTAAAGTTATTGCACATCAAAGGGTTTCCTGCCAACTACTTACAAGTAATTAACATCAAAACAGTGTGACTGATTTCAATTCATTTATACTATTTCTACGTTTCTTATTGATGGATAGAACTCGATCAGTACTAAGGACTCGATAAACATGAATTGGTTACTACTGATTGGTCAATCCGTGTAAAAGTAGTCGTTTTTATCAAAAATATCCATGAAAGTAGTTAAGGTTATTTTCAGTTTAGTATAGGTAAACAGTGGCATTTTTATCTGATCAGGGTTCAAGTAATTCTCACAGAGATCACTACCTGTTTATATTTCTGTATTTAATTGGTAAAGTATTGACTGGCACTTTTTCATTTGTGTTCGGTTATTTGAGAAGAATAAACTGCTTTAATCTTCAAGCATGTTGTCCAGTCGTTTTATGAGTCTTTCGATTAATCACAAAATGAGGTTATTTTCAAACTGGGTGATGACGAAGCCTAACATCACATATCTCAGAAGAATTATATAATCAAATCATTCTCTGTGATAGTTCCAGTCAATACTTTGCCATGTATTTTTCCCAAATTAAATGTTTTTTAAAAGTGACTTCATGGAAATTCTGCATCTGTACTTCTTGTGATTTGATCAGCTTTGAACACCGATAAAGCTGGCGCAAGTGTGTATGTCTTAGTTGCTATATCGCTTCAATGGGATTCACATGAATATTGAACACTGACAGTTAATTACTTTGCTGTATATTTGTTTGAATTAGTGATCCAACTTAATACTGCGTCTTCATTATATCTTCAACATATGAGTGGTTTCTCAAAGTATTTTTTGAATACTTATTTTCATTCTTATATGTTAGAACCAGTCTAACATTCTAAGGCAAGCTAAGCGTATACGCTAATTCACTTCGATCGGTACAGAAATTTCGAAAAGCATAGTATTCTTTCATTTGAGTCAATTTTTTATTAAAATGTTAGGAAGCGAAACGTGTATTAGCATAAAACAATATTCATTATGATCAGTGGTCCTCTTAACGAACGCCTAAAAGCGAAACAACATTCCCAGGAGTTTTGGTCTCACATAACCTAGTGCTCATATTTTTATTGTTGTTTAGGAAATTTCCTTTACTGCTTTAGAATTAAGTACGTTGATCGATTCCATCTAGCAACCAGTTCGTGTGAAAAATAAATGATTCAAACCTGTGAGTGCTTCTGGGAAAGAAAATGTTATGAAATTCCCAAATTTTAATTGGCAAGATATGGATAATTTATTTGAACAGGTCGAGTTTTTAATGAACCAAAATGTTATCATATTCAAAAAACTAAATTGCTCAAAAACTGAATAAATATTTTTACAAGGTGTCATTATTTTGGAAGATTTTTGAAGTAAATAGATGTAAATGGATGTATGTATATTTATATAATCCCGTGTACTGAAAACCGTTTATTTCAACCAATATTGTCAGTACCATATATACAATTATATAATATACCCTTGTTGGTGAGGGTAATTTTACATTGGTTTTCAGGAGAACCAGACATCATCCAGACCTTCACGTGACAACCTAAATAGTACGGCTCAATCCCGTTTAACAGGAGAGTCAAACATCGCCCAGGCTTAACCCGAGCAGTAAAGCTCAATCCCACTTGCAGGAGAGCCAGACACTACCCATATCTACAATCTGAATTAAATAAGCCACCATAGTTTTCAAAAGCCGATACTTTATAGTTTCATCTTATTGATAAAAAAATATTACTTTGCTTTACAATCACCAAGAACGAGCTATTAATAATTCAAAAACTAAGTTGTTTTTTTAACAGAATGACAGGTTCATTTACTACTCTACTGAAGTTATTGAAAGTATAGTTTATAACCAAAAGCAGTTAGTGGTAGTGGCTAGTTTTACCAGTTATTTCAAGCAAGAGTGTAGTTCGAGTCATGACGTCATATGGAATCTATTAGTAAGCATATGTCTGATCTTGTTCAGTGGTAATTGTTATTCTACCCTTAGTTGTTCCACGCATTATATTAGCTTTGGCTCACGTTTAAGTTTTTGTTCCAATCATTATCTTCGTTTCTATTGTTTGTTTTTCTCTTCTATAATGTTCTTCAATATGAAAACGAAAAATAAAATCTTACTTTTGAAATTTGTATATTATCGGCTGTTCGAAATTCATAATTTTGACTTTTTAATTATCATAGTATCAAAATTAAAATCCTGATTCATCTACTTTCGACTTGTATTAGGACTCACTACAGCATCACACTGTTTATGATCCAGATGTATTTGATCATTCTTCAGTGTCAAGTACACCTTCAGCTTTAGAGGTTCCTGTTTTCGAAAGCACGAGTTCACATTTGAGAAATGAGGGTGAAGAAAATCGTGAATAAGAAAACTGTCGGTGAATTATATGGTTTTTTAATTATAGAAGTTGAAGTGTTTTCCTGTAACAATTCGCTTCACTTTTTCCAAAGTCAAGTTATATTTGCACTGTCATTAACCTTTTATTTTTCTACAAGGTTAACATAATTGCTTATGATATATTTAAATGCCAAGATTGTGTACTTTTTATACAATGTTCGTTGTAATATTGGATTTTTAATATACTGAATGACTTTACCCCTTGTCACCTGCACATATTTTGATTTATTTGCTCTCTTTAAATGCCAAAATGTTTACTTCGATACTGTATTTTTTTTCGAGAATCCCAGATAGTGTTAGCATAAAACGTATTTTGCAAATGATATTTGGTAAATTAACAACGATGTTTACTATTTCCAAAAAAAACAATGTATTTCATTGCTATCTAAAAATGCTAGCTTGACCTAAATTGCTAATTGTATTACAACGAATATTTTGTAGAATTTCATAAGAAATGTTCTTTAAAGGTGAACAGTTTATTTGTGTTTTTATGACAACTTATTCCAATAGATTATTCACTCATTGATAATATTTTGGCACAATACAGTTACAACTTGCTGGTCTGCCAGCTTATTAGAAGTGTAGCACATTTTTGTTTCTTTTAACTCGTCTAAAGTAAAGTAATTAGCTTTCATTGTCAAATATTCTGTGCAACATGGAAGCTTATTTCTTTGTTCTGAAATAACGTAATGATAAGTGGATACTGAAATAATATTTGCATGTAAACATTTATATCTATTTTGAAATAGTCAGAAATGCTGATTTTCGGTTTGTTAAGGTTCTATGTCATCGATGATCAATTTGAAATAATCTGCAAAAAATTTATGCATTTGTGAAAGAATATGATTTTATAGATATGATAACCGACTCTGCGTTGGATATTATAATCCTACTTTCTATAGTGTTATTGGTACCCATTGTTCAATAAACTTTCTTAGTTGGTGCATATAATGTTGTCCGTACTACTAGGTTTCGTAGTTGTTGCATGTATTTTTACTCATTTATTCCCTTTTGAAGTGCATAATTAACTGTGAGTATTGTCAAGTTTCTTGTACATCTATCTCCAAATGAAGATGTTCATGGATTGACTTGACTGCAGATGAATAACATACTCTTAAACATCGATAGACATAATAGTAATACACTTGTTAATCAGTTTCTTTCATCTGAATGATGGTCAAGATAATTCTAATCACCCATTGCAAGGTAAGTTACTGTCCGTTTTGTTCTAATTGTAAGCTGTTTTATATATTTTGTGATAAATCGTAGAATGTTTAGATCTATTATGAAATTTGTTTCTTATCAGAATAAGGATTTGTGTAGATTGTAGTAATTTTAATAGTTGAATTCATGAGATGATCTAAACTAGAACACCATTGAAAACCTGGAAGCACAGACAGTGGATGAAGGGTTGCGTAAGATCATGGATCGATTGAAGTTAGATACTAACACTGTTGGATGCCGGCTCAGTGGTCTAGAGGCTAAGCGTTCTCGCGCGAGATCGAGAATTCTAGATTCGAGTCCTGTGTGCGGGATCGTGGGTGTGCAGAGCTTAGGAGTTCCAGATTAGGACGAAGGGGCCGTCCAATTCTTCTCAGTACTCAGTGGTGGTCTAGCTTAGATTAACTATAGAATTCAACTATTAAAATGTGTTTTGTTTGAAAGGATTGAAGCTAGATATATGATTTATACAGCTTATGACCGGGATTGGACTTTTACTAATGAGGTTACTCAATGAGTACACTTCTGTGTATAAACCTTATGTTCAAGAATTCGAAAAATTGCTGGAATTACAGCGCTGAAACTATCAAATGGTTTTTAATGTAAGACTCACATCTTGGTCTCCTACTGTCTGATTAGCAAACGGATTCTAATGAAATAGTGATTGAAAGCTTCCCTAAAAATATCAGTGCTTGACAAACGCGAAATTGATTCCTAACTTAAATACACGCAGTGCATATTGTGAACTCTACTTATTGTCTGTTTCATTATGGTGCTACGTAAAGTCTCACCTGAATCTAAAAATTATTATTATTTATTTGGTTTCCACACTATCTTAAAATTCCAAGGTTTCAATAAACGTTTTGAATATCTCAGGTGGTTAAAGTACTTACACAAATACAGTTGGTTAAGTTGACGAGAGATGTAAACAAATTGAATTTAATAGAATTCTTCATAATAATAGGTCGTCAATTTTGTCGATTATCATTTGTTCAAAATCGTGGGGATTTATAAGTAAATATATATAAGTTAGATTTATCTCGACACGAATTTATTATTGAAGACCATCTTACTAGATATATTTGATGCATCTGTCGAAACAATATCTGTAACATGAAAGGTGTGGAGTACTAATGAAACCCCAGTTGTATGCTGCATTGTTGTTACTTCTAAGCCTTGATCGTGTTCAAAGCCAACTGGAAGCCTATTTTGAAACCAGGTCATTCATGCATTTCACGTCAAGTCCCATACATTTCATACACGAATTTTCATTTAATAAATCTAGAAAATCACATTTATCGAAGGAAAGTGTAAACACCTGGGGTTAGATCTGACAACAGATACTTAATTATGTACTCATGGAAGGAACATTGCTTTGAGGACTACTTCAAAATGTGATTAGAAAAACCCACGACTGTTTATTAACAATTTCTGGCGTTGTCTAGATTAATCAAACTAACATTTTGACGTACCATAATCCATTGACAACTTTTATAATTCAGCATGTATGATCTAACTTTCCAGTCAGTAGTAAATTGCGGATGAATGATAAAGATGTTTTAAGCTTGTACTGTGCCATGAAACCTAACTGAAAACCTCTGACACTGACCTAGCTGTGTCAGACAGAGTCGGTTATTTTTCGAATCGCCTCTTTTGCTCTTCTAACAATTGAAATGGGAAAGCATGACTTGATCTTTAATCAGTATTGATTCAAATATCATCTGGATATCGAGATATAAATATAGATAAACGAAAGAAAACAGATTTATTTGATAAATTGTAATGAGTACTACAAATGTTGATTTAAATTACTTCACTAATCCTACTTAGAGTATCTACTAGACTTTAATGTGAGATTGAACTTGTGAAGAATTTTTTTATGGGGAAAAGAGAACATTTTCTGTTAGTCTGACGTAGAGACTTTCTTTAATACTAAGGACGTTCTTATATATCAAAATTATATGACTGGTTATCTATTCAATTGTTAGTAAAAAGAGTTCATATCATGTAATTAACTTTAGTTGCAAACAACTCCTAGATGGGAACTCATCTACTCCAGTCTAGCAAGTTTTTATTCATAAATCTATTGAATTTCAAAAGTAAATCATTCTTTGAACTGAGTGGATCCTTTCTGTAATTTATTGTAAATTTAACATTATCAATGATAAGTTTATTCAACATTTCATGAACAATGCACACATTTTCATAGTGTTGTGCGCTTGGTATTTATTACTCGGCTTTGAAATGAATGTCTTAGTCATTATGATAAATTGCAAAGACTTGAAAATCTGATTTTAAATAAAAAGAACACTTACATCATATGCGTTTACTGTCTCAAGATTATATCGAAAAACGTGGGGGTAGCTGTCTACGGCTCACCCTGGATTGCGTGGTTGGTGTTTTCTTATAGTAAGGTACTATTTTGAGGAATGAATTTGGTAAACTCTTGCCAAAGTCACCTCCTGCATGTTTAAGAGGACAACTAGTAGCTTTAGAGGGGCTCTAGGAGGAGTTTGAAATTTTCAACAACTTATATATCCTAAGACAGTATCATCATCAGTTTATCAAGATTAGTTTAGATCTCGGTCAATACATCGATCCATAGTCTACTTATGAGTTGTGTATACAGAGCCCAGACACTTCAGCCACTGTGGATTATCTTAGTGTTAATGCACTTATATATGATTGTATTTGAAATGTTGATGTGGAAGCCATCAAGGAGACTTCAGCTATCCTAGTATTTACTGGTGACAAGTCCGTGGAGTAATGAGGAATTCTCAACAGTACTATATATCCACTGTTGGTTTTATACCTCAGGAAGGCATGCTAACATCCTCAAACTAATTCTACTACAAGTTACTATTCCCCCATCCGTACAAGTTAGGAATGAACTTGGAAGCAATGATAATATAATGGTTGCCTGTATTCTTCCCGTTAATATTAACCCTACTGATAACCTTTCCTTAAAAAGAAAACGTCAATATCGGGACTATAAAGTGCAAAATGGGCTTAATGCAAACCTTGTTAAGATGCTCATTTTTCAACGACTTCTCGAGAAATAGTTTCGTATATGTTCGAGACATATTTTATCATATCGACAATTCATTTGTATTTGATAAATAAAGAAGGAACGAATTGAGCTCAATTCGTTCCTTCTTTATTTACCAAATGGCAAAATGGGAATTTTCACTATATTGAAATCATTTCTAGATTCCATTGCACCAGTGAAAACCTAGTACTGCCTTCCCATTGTCGACTTGTCTGATGGCCATCCCGATTTCCTCGATCGTTGATGGATTGACATCTATAGGAAGGTCTGTGTGTACTGCTTCGATGTCCGGTGAGTTCATGGAACTGGTCTATTCAAGAGTTCCCCAAAGTGTTCTACCCATCTTTCCTCTGTACTTGAATCTCGGTGATTGTCTTGCCTTTTTTGTCCTTGACTGGTCTCTCCGTTTACTGTTTCCCTGTCAGTTTCTTCGTTGTGTCATATAGTTGTTTCATATTCCCTTTCGTTGCAGCTTTTTCCGCTGTCGTTGTTAGGTCTTCCACGTATTTCTGCCTGTCAGCTCCAATGCTCGTCTTCACTTGCTTGTTTTCTTCAGTGTGTTCAGCTTGTGCCTTGACGTTTTCTATTGTTGTTCAGCTGTTGTTAAATGCTGTCATTTTTAGTGATACAAACATGACTGATCCGATTTTCTACAGTGTGATCCGGTATGACCTATATAGCATTGTGTGGGAATATTAATATCCCTTTAACCATTTTGTTGAATGCACATAAATTTACAAATCTCTCATCATTCTCGTTCCCATGCAATGAGTCCTTTACGTGCTTCTTTGGACAGCATCAGAGCAACTCACTGAGTGTGCGGAGCATTTTCTTCTTGGTTCTTCTTGGGTGCAATGGGTTTCACTTATTCCGAGAACTGTCAGTTTGCATCTTCTCATTTCCGTAGCTCCTTGGTTGGCTCTCCCACACTGTCAGAACATTCCGTGTATTTATGTTAATTGTTGCTGTGGTTGTTAGAAGGAGCATCGGCCTCGTGACTACCGAAGAATCTCGGCTTCCACGATGAGGCGTCATAATACTTCCTTCAATTCCCAGTACAGAGTTTCAATGGTTTGATTTGTTTATTGTGGTTAGCGTTTTTTGAGCAATATTGTTTTGTATGGGATGGGTTTGCTGACCGTGTTCCCAACTC